GGGGGGGGGGGGGGAGAGGGAGCGACGTTATGATAATTAGCAGGCAGGATTACGCCCCTGTCCCCGTTGTGCAGGCGAGACCGTAGCCCGCCGTCGTCGCCGCCGCTGTCGCCCGCGGCGGCTGTTGAAATTTCCCGGCGCTTGCGGTTTGCGCCCGATAATGACCCCGATAATAATTAATCGGACACGCCGCGTTACTTTCCACGCGGCGCTAAATCCCTTCCACGGCGATCACGTGAATATTTCATGCCGCAATGTAAACGCCGGTCGCGCGCGTGCGAACAGTCGAACGTGTCGCCCGGAGGCGATCGCGCGAGGATCGCGATCGCGTGAACCCGCCGAGAGCTCGTCAAGTTAACAGAGACGAATGTAGTGTCGAGAGGTGGGAACGGGATGTCGATCCTCGCCGACGTTTCATCGATCCCCCGAAGAGCCGCGAAAATATTTGCGTTTATTAATATAATGTGAACGGCGCGCGCGATGATGACTTTAAAGTTTGTCGATTTTCCCTTCTTATTTTCGTAGTAACGCGAAAGTAATGATGTATCATGTAGAAATAAAGGTTCGATTGAATTTAGCAGACAGTGTACGAACCGGACGTGTTATGGTTAAAGAGATCGGAATTGCGATTATAAGGAACAAATTTGGATAGTAAGGACCGGGAATTCTGTCTCCCTCAACCAAAACGCGTTTGGCTCGTGTTCGCTGTCTGATAAATTCAACCAGATTTCTCTTCCGTACATTTCTTCTCTTCTGAGCAGCTAAAATCTTACCTACTGTCATTAACAGACTGAAGTCAAACTACAGCTGGTTATTCACTTATTGTTAAAAACTTCCGACAAGTTTGGCATCGACTCGCTATTTGTTATTAATTTCGAAAAATTAGCAAAACCGGTCGTGTTACTCCCTTTTCCTCTTACGCGGGTTAAAAATGGATGCGCGGATGCATCGCTCCCCGGCCCCTTACTGCAGCCCCCACTCCCCGTAACCCTTCATCCGAAGCAAATCGATTCCCACTCGAGCTCGCTCGTATTTCTTACAGATGGGAGAAGAATTTTTCCGAATAACCATCAACGATAGCCGGCGCCCGCCGCGTTATTCCGAGGCCGCGACTGCTGAAGGAAAGATTCATACTTCGCGAAACTCTCGGGGTTGCGGAGGCACTCTTGGAAGGCGACGTCCAACGACGGCGACGACGGCGTCGGCGACGGTCATTTCGATTGGTCGCACGCCCGCGGGCTCTCTCGAGTCCCACACACAAATAAGTTCAAACATCCGTAATCTTTCTGCCCTCTTCCGTCTCTCTCTCTCTCTCTCTCTTTCTCTCTTTCTCGCCCACTTTCCCATCCCACTCGATCTTTCAACAGAAACTCCCAATAAACCCGGCGCCGAGGAGAGAGAGAGAGAGAGAGAGAGAGAAAGAACGAGTTGGCGAGCTTCCTTACGACTGATCGAAGCGTTCTCGAGAGGAAAGAGCTTTTCGGAGTCGGAGAAACGCGAGTGAGGCGGTCGCTACGAGAAAATCCCGGGTGGTGAGTCACGTGGGGGAGGGAAGAGAGGAGGAGAGGCCTGGATCGCAGATCCAGATCGATTCGCGAGGGGGCGCGCGCGGAGACAAACATTTCCAATCAACGCGAAAAAGGGACCGGAGAACCGTTATCGCCGGGTTTTCTTCCTCCCTTGCCCCCTCATTCTCTCCCTTTTTTTCCTCAATGTCTGACACAGCGCGGGAAACCGGCCGAACCATGGGGGGAGGGCGTGGCAGGGGAACGAGGGGGAGAGGAAGGTGACTCTCGGCCCGTCGATTTTTATCGAGTTACAAAAGGAGGAATTAGCGCGCGAGCTTAGAAATTAGATTTCCTCTGTCGCGAGGGCGGCCAGATGTTTCGCCCGCTTTTCACGAATCGACGTCCACCGTCGGGAAACAACAACGAACGGCGAGGGTGACGGGGNGGGGGGGGGGGGCGAGCACGAGAGCGCGCGCGGATTTTCCATCTGCGGCCGTTACGCAACTCATTAGTTGGCCTTTCGCAAGCTACGCTGTTAAAAACGCGCAAAGGGCTGTATCGAGATGAAATTTAAAATGCTTCCTTCTCGCGCATCGGAATCCTCGCATTCGACATCCGTCTTTCGAGGGAGAACTCGGCGATCTCGCGAGTAAGAGGAGAAACGAAAAAGAACTCGAAACGCAAGAAACCCCTTCGACGCGTTTTAACGTCACGTTTTCTGCCAAAACGCGACTCGTCTTAAAAATGCACAGGCTGAGAGCTTCATCCGATATCGCGGCAGTATCAAAGATAAATGCGCGCCGGGTGTCGCGCTGTTTCATAAATAAAGAGATAGAAAAAAACGGGGGAGGGGGGGGGGAAGCGTTCTGCAAAATTCGCCGGCCAGCCGAATTGTCGTTATCGGCTTTCGTTTCGACTTTCCGCGAGAGCACGCGCATGAATTGTTGATTGTTAATTCTCTCGATGAAAGGACAGAACATACTCTTTCACCGGCGATGTCGACTGTTTCGGCACTCCCTACGCTATTCTCTGAAATATTCAGTTTTCTTGTCACTCACCGAAATATCACCGGTATCCGCCAGGACAGCCGCAGATGTCGCTCCCGATCGTCTACCCACTACAATGGACCGCGAAGTAGTATCTCGCTGGATCCGCTGACAGAAAAAAGAGAAGGAAATCACGAATTAATAAAAAGAGAAACGAAAAGAGAGGGAGAGAAAGAAAGAAAGAGAGAAAGCATTATTTATTTTGCGCTCTGGAGTAAAATTCCCTTAAGCGCGTAACGTACAATATTCAACATATAAAGCTTAGAATATATACTTGCATATCTTAAAGTACATACATACAAACATTTCTTAAAGTAATTAACCAAATACGTATCAGGGAACGCGTGTTTATTATATACATTTCAAGAAAATTCCTCGTAAATTAGCGTTAGTTTGAGATAAAATTAGAGAATATAAATTAACGTACATATAATTAGCTTAGCTTATTGCTAGGGAGCATAACTTAAGCTACCTATGTACGTTAATTTAGTTGCACTCTCTAATTTGATTTTAAATTATGCTAATTTACCAGAAATTTTCTGGAAATATATACATTGTTGAAATAATTGTTACAAATATGTATCATAAAGACACTATTTTCTAGCAATAGCCTAAGCTATCCATGTGAATTAATTTAGTAATATTCTCTTATTTTTACTTATGCCGATATTTTAATTGTACCGATGTTCGAGAAATTGACAGAGAAAATCTGTCACAGTCTGTTCGGACATTTCAAGAAATATAAACCAACAAGCCGTAACTATATATTATTGACCGATCCCAAGGCAGTAAAGCACCTGATCGGTCAAATACCACAATGGAACAGAAGGTTACAGAAATTGGATTTGAAATTCTCGATTGTGTGAGCATTACGTAGTCCCGCAGGCAGACCATTCCAAAACTTGGAAGCTCTACACCTAAAAAGAACCTCCTAAAAATCTCAATTCTACAAATCTTCTTCAACTAAATGGGTTTTTCAATATAGTCAGATCCCTTCTTTAGTAGTGTCCAATAAAGCAAAGTAATTTCTTCTGATGTTCGTTTTAAGTCAACCCAGTTTCTCGCAGTACGGGGGTTGTATAAACATCTTTTTCCAGTGAGGAAACAAATCTGACCGACGAATTGACAGCTCTTTGGAGACGCAGATTCTGTTGCACCGTGGTATCTGTTAACGTCGCACAACAATAATCCAGGTATAGAGGATTAGGGAAATGATCAAACTTCGCCCGATAGTGACGGCAGAGAAGGAACAAGAGAATAGAGTAGAGAGAGAGAGAGAGAGAGAGAGAGATCCCCGAGTGGCGTGAAATCAAATCCAAAAGCCGACGCGAAATAAAAACTAAAGATAAGAGCCGGCGGAGGTGGGGCGAGGCTGCAATATAAAGCAAGAGTCGAAGCTGAAAGTCTCGGGGAGAAGCAAGCGGGCTAATTAATTAATAATTAGAAGCGAAGTTCGAACCGAAGAAATTTCCATCTCGCGCACGCCTCGTACCTCGCGTAATAATCTCGCGGCCAAACAAAAGTCTCGATAGAAAAAGGAGGAGGTTGGGCGGGGGAAGGAGCCGGCGGGAAAAATAAAACGAAGGCGGAGAGCCCGGCGATCGTTTTCTCGGGAATGCACTCGACTGCGAGTTGATTAATTAAATGCGCGGGCTATATCCCCGACCGTTTCCCGCACCGGGCGCGCCCTCCCTTCCCTCTCACCCCCATCCACCCTCTCTCTCTCTCTTTCGGTTTCTGGCTCGCGTTTATATTCGACTCGTTTGCGCTATGTTCGACTCGTTCGCTGTTTACGACTATCTCATGCGCACGATATATAAAATCCGATCCGCCGTTGCGTGCGCACGCCCGCGATTGTACGCCCGCGTTAACTAATTGTTTCCGTATTATTAGACACCGTCGCGGCCACCCGGCGACGAAACTACATTAATTGCCGCGAGAACGGCGCGACATTAATCCAGTCTGTTGTTCGCGGCATTTCGAAACCCGGGTCCAGTTGTTATTTCGCGGCGGAATATTGGCTACGGCCGGAATATCAAATTACGAGCACGAACATTAATTGGTACGGTGAATCGCCGTCGTCGTTTGTGACCGCGAAAACCGGCTATTCGCCGCTCGCAGAGCTCATGAGACCAGCCGCGAATTTAGGGACCGCCGGGATGCGCCGCTTTCGAATAATTCGCCGGTGGTTTAAATGTGAACGCTTTATCCCGCGATATTACCGCGTCTCGCCCGTCATGCGCGATTTTTCCCATTTCTCGGAAGTGAGCGCTGCAAGGCCAGGTGAACCCGATCCGTTGTCTGTTGCGGACGCGCAAAAGAGACTTCAAGCTGTCGGTACACTCACGCTCGCTCGTTCGTTAAAGAAAGTGAAGTATTAACACACACGGTGTGCAATCGGTCTCGAATGGGTTAAAGATCATCTACTATTATTAGTATTATTAGCAAAGTAAATTAGCAAACTAGATGCGTTAATTATGATAAGGAGCCTATTGTTCTGCTTGTTACGATCCGAGAGCGGCAACGAGCACACAAGTTTATCGCTACTAAAATCTTCTCTTTGATTTCGCACAGGAACGATTCGTTATCAAATACAGCCTTGTCCTCTCTGTATCTTCTTCGATTCGCTAAAGTTAAAGCGAAGTCTAAAGCAGATTTAACGATCTCTTTCGTTTTGAAGAAATTTTACGGCGATTATGGTCTTGTCGAGAGTGAAGCCCTTTAGAGAGTTGCAGCGGTCTTTTAAGAATAAAATCGGTCCTTGTAAAAATTTTTGTGTTAAATTTTTTACATATCCATATATTAATTTAACCCTTTGCACTCGAGGGCTCCGCTCCGGACATGCGCGTTTATTTCAACATTTTGTATATTATCTCAATATTTTGTGTTATATCGATATTCGACGATATTACGTTAAATTTAACACCAAATTTTCCACTGTGTATGTGTGTGTGTGTTTCATTTCTTCAAAGAGCGCACATATCTTTATTATTCTTTATATTATATTTATTTTATTTCACATTATATTTTGCATTAGACGAAGGGGCTTAATCAGAGTTCTACTCGCGACATCACGAATATCAGAGAAGCTCGCTTGACATCGATCGTCCGAAAATCTCCAACACTCTCCCCACGACTCAAGCCGAGCTTAATGGCGCATAAAGCGCAAAGCACACACAGAGGTAACGTTCGTCAACCCCCGCCGACGGTTAGCCGGCCGTTGGACGCTCTGGACGTGCTTAAATCGATTTAGGAGGCATCGCGGACCAGCGGCGAATCGCGGCCTCCTCCACCTCCTTCATCATCGATCGATAATAATGTCCGATGGAACGCCGCGGGCGATATAATAAATCGAAAAGCCACACACTTCTCTCTTTCGCAATCGGTGCGAGCCCGCTCTCTCTCGTGTTTTCCTGCATCACCCGCTCGCACACACGTGTAACAAAAGCGCTCTCTCTTTCCCTCTTTTTCTCTCTCTCTCTCTCTCTCAACGACGAGAACGTTTAACTACATTCCAATAAATAACTTTTATGTGAACTACCGCGTCGTTCTCGCCAAGATTTAAGGACGACCGTAGTTTAAGAGACAGACCATCGCGCACACGATCCCTCTGATTCGTCCCGTGAGCTCTCTAATTTCTATTTCCGCGATGACGTCATGACTTCTCTCTCTCACCCCCTCGGAGCATCCCCCGAGCGACAGCGCGACGCGGAAGTCGTTACGCGCGAGGGTGACTCTCGCGTTCCGTGACGATGACCGTGTTTTTTCTTCCAGATCCTTGGCGGGTTAATACGCGGCCGCAACCACCCGGCCATCAGTCATCGCGTACACGAGGGGTGAATCACGCGCGGCTCGGCCGTTTTCGACATTTCTTTCTTTACTGTCATTCGACTTCTAATCTAATCTCATAATGCTTTTTTCGCATCGTTGACGCAACAAGTAACGGCAGTTTTTGGTAACCGGAACAAGGCGCAAATGCGCGAGCAATTTTGCCGCCACATCCGACTTTTAATCCAATCCCTTAATTTCCTTTTTTACGCATCGCTGACGCAACAAGTAACAACAGTTTTTAGTATCCGCAGCAAGACGCAAATACGCGAGCATTTTTTTCGCCATTCGACTTTAATCTAATCCCTTGATTTTTTTCGCATCGTTGACGCAACAAGTAATAGAAGTTTTTGGTATCTGGAGCAAGGCGCAAAATACGCGAGCAATTTTGCCACCATTCGACTTTAATCCAATCCCTTAATTCTCTTTTCATCGTATTACTCTCTGTGTATTTATATATACAGATTTTTTTTATTTGCTATCCGTTCCATCATATCCCCCGCTTCCCGTGTTTTGTTTCTATTTTTTTTTCTGTTTTTCTCCGGTTTTTTCCCCATTTCCAGTCCGTTACGACGGGAAATATTCTAACGACGCTCGGGTGCGGCCGGCGGTGAAGGAGGAGGAGGAGGGGGAGAAGGGAGGGTGAATTATTACCGTTCCATATCGCGCGCGCTACTATCAATTTACTAGCGCAACGGTGCTTAATGAAGTCGATGCACACATAAATATGCGTCAATACGTTAAATCGTATTAGCGAGGCCATCAACTTCAAATTCGGCGGGGGAAAGAGAGAGTGGGACAGAGCGAAGAGGGAGGGAGGGAGGCAGAGCGAGGGGGAGGGAGGGGGAAGAGAGAAAGAGAGAGATAGAGAGAGAGAGAGAGAGAGAGCGGACTGGCGGCCTTAAAACACTACAAATGCCACGCACGGCTCTTTCATCCGATTACTCCCTTCGATTGTTATCGCCCGGCATTAATTCCAATAAATTGTACACCATCGACGCTGCAAATGGTTCGTCGATATTGTCTATGGAACGAGGGGAAAATTGATTCAGTGAATCGTGACGCCGGCGTAGCCGTCGCAATCGCCGCCGCGGCCGCCGCTTTTGCCGAACGCTCAAATAAAATTCCATTTGCAACGAGGGCAAATGAAATCTCGACAGCGAGATAAAAAAAATCCACGTTGTTTAACGCCCTCCCGCACATCCCTTCGCCGTTGACAGGGTATACCGAGTTCACCAGAAGTGTGAAAATAATGAAATATCTTGAAAACGAAGAAATTG